CAAATGGCACATAAATATCTCTAGGCTGAAAATGTGTTTAGAAATAGGTCGACTGATTCAAAAGCAAGTCTAAAAGGCTGTTCTTTATTACATTTTGATGGGTTGAACACAAAAGTCATTTAATATCTTAATAAAATTGCTTATAAGGACTACTCGAAAAAGTTTCCTGGAAAACTGATAGGTTTTTTTTTATAGTATTACGAAGTATCGAAAGCCGAAGGGCGGAACTTTATGCCTCTAAACCTAATCTCCTCCCAAGTCATATTTTTCCCATGGAACCAACGGACTAAGAATTCGTTCATGGGAGATGGAAAGGTTTTAAGTTTCATCAGCCATACGGACTGACTAACGCCTAATTTATGTATATATGTCTTAGTTGAATTGAAGGTGACGTTTCGCTAACATTATTCCATATACCAGAGAATTGGCATACGTCCAAGTGAAGTTTTTGACTTTCCCCTTACATTTCAAAAACGATAACATTGAAAAAATACGTGATCGAAGTTTTCTGTGCACTTTCTACACGTCGGACAGTATGGACTAATATCATGATAGAATACGAACAGATAGCTTCTAAAGCTTCCATTCAGTACTCAGTATTTGGGTTAAGTGGAAGTTTAGGTCCCCATGTTCTATAACTATCTACGAATGAATGTCCCGGATTTATCTGAGGCTCCACCAATGTGATGATTTTGGCTCTCTCTTCTTTTTTACGTCTACAGGCGACTTTGATAGCTGATTCAATCGCGCCAATTCGGCTCATTTGATGTCAGTGGGCAGCATACTGGCTAGAACTTCATTCCCATGGCTTGATATCGTTCGCAAAGCACTTGTTATTTGTAAAGAAGTGAGCCTATGCACAGCGTTTATTTGTTTTGCATATGATTTTATATATTTTTGGCTGTGCCCATATTGGTGTTGCACACAATATTACGGGAACTCATCTTAAGAGGATTTTGTTCACAGCTTGTGCTATTAAAGTTCGACGGCTGTAATACACGCAACCTCTTTTGTCCATCATTATTGGACAGAACATTAGATATTTTGTTTTCTTTACTCGAAGTATGCGCCAGGTGTTTCTTAAAGTTTAAATTGGACTAGAATATTGCTCCCATATACTTCAGCTGTGGCTGTGAAATAATATCAGATTCCCCTATGTTGAGTGATACCGTTTCTTCCATACCACCTCTCTTGTGCTTATGAGCAAGAATTCCGTTTTTTGCTCAGCCAATTCTAAACTCATAGTAGGAAACCATTGGCTCAGACCATTTATGTAAACATTGCATTTGTATTCTTAACACCCCGTCGAATATTAAGTTCCATAGTAGATGGCCTAAGACCGAGCCTTGCGGTATTCCACTCGAGACAGTAAGCTCTGTGTGTCTCCGTCCGTGTTGAGTAACAACGTCCTACATATTTTGAAAGTAATTCATTATAATATTTACAAGATACTGGGGTGCCCGCCTTTCATAAAGAAATTTGATTATATATGCCCAATTTGCGAAGTTTAACATATTCTCATCATACAGCGTAATTACCGCGCAATATTTTTTTGTTTCCATTTTTTACCACTTACTACTTCTTCTTGTTCTTTTTTTTTCCAAGGAGCTAAAACACTCATTCGACATGCTTTTTGTACCGTGGAAAAAGCAAAAAAAAAAAAAAAAAAAAAAAAAAAAAAAAAAAAAAAAAAAAAAAAAAAAAAAAAAAAAAAAAAAAAAAAAAAAAAAAAAATTTGTTCTGCTTTTTCTTTTTTTTTTTTAAGTCCAGTTTACTTTGGAAAACACATTGTTTACAAAAGTTGATAAGATGAAGGTTATTCAGGTGGATTTTTTCGTTTTGGAAGTAACGAGAACCAAATGCTGTACCATCTACGGGTCGGAGAACTGCTCTTCTATTAGACACGCGTTGTAGAGTTTGACTGGGCTGGGTTTTAGTGTTCCATTTGGAATTCCACCAATTCCAGACGTCCAGGTGTTTTTGACTTTTTTTTGGAAATGGTTATGATAGGTTAAAACTAAACATAAGTAGGTTGGACAGTAGATAAAAATACCCAAGTTTTGAAGTGTTGGCAGCGCTAATTCTTTCGATTTTTTCACCACAAAAGCCTTCAAGAGCTAAATAAAAGCTGGAGTACATTTTACTATAAAAATTCCTTGAAAAATATGGAGCGACACTGCTCGTTTTGCTAGGTTAAAGCCAAGCTGAAATATTTTGGAATAGAGCTAAGATGTGGAAATAGAATTTTTGCTTGATGAAGCACACACTTTTTACAAGCGTACAAAATTTTAATATGTAAAGTTTTGCTATTTGGGTATCGAAAAGTCTGCAATAAATCTAAGTGTAATGTTGCCATTGTTGAATAGAAAACACTGACCCCGTAATTCTTCACAATTATTGCAAAATAAAAAATATAAAAAAAAATAAAAGAAAATGAACTTTGGCTGCATCGAAAGTGTCATCCTTCATAGGTGCATTTCTTGTTGCATGAAAGGGTATTTTATCTTGATTTTGATAGATCAATTTGTACGCAACTATATGTTATAGTGGACTGTTCTGAATGCTACATTATAGCTTTGCTTTAGGATATAACTTATGCTTAATATCATGTACATATCTTTTGAAATGAAAAATATTTCCATATAAGGACTTGATTTTAAACGACCAGTTTGTATGACAGCTATATGTTGCAGTGTCCCGATCTGAACAATATCTTCGGAAACCATAGCATTATTTTAGCTAGTAATTCGTGCCAAATTTTATTCACATATCTTATTTATTTAAAATGCTTTCCATACAAACACTTTATTTTGATCGGTCAGTTTGTATGACAGCTGAATGCTACAGTGGTCCGATCTGAAAAATTTTTAATGGGATTTCATAACTAGCTTATATTATAATACACAACCGAATTTGGAGAAGATACCTCGTCAAACAAAAAAGTTTTCTCTAAAAAGATTGATTTTAATCGACCAGCTTGTATAGCATCTATACGATATAGTGATCCGATATGATCAATTTCTTCAGATATTCTCCCATTTTCTTTAGATATAATGCGTGCTGAATTTAAAGAAGATATCCCTTCATATGAAATAGTCTTCCATATAAGGGCTTGATTTTGATCGTTCAACTTATATGGCAGCTATAAATTTTTTTAGACCGATAACAGTAAATCTAACAAATAATCAATTATATGTAGAGAAAAACATATTTACAAAATTTCAGGTGGAACTAATTCGTGGATATACCGACATTAGTTTCCCTCGAAAAGCATATAAGTGCAAACAGCAAAGTCTTCGAAAATTTCATTAACGAGACAACAATTCTACATAAGTTGTATTTAATAAATATCGAAAAACTAAAATTATTAATTGAGAGCTTGACAAAGATAGATTAAAACCAAAACCTCGCATATGTTGATGTATATACAAGTAAATATACACAAGAACATCTTTGTGCTCTCAGCCAAGGGTTCAAGGGTAAAAACATTAGTGGCTTCGCAGGCGTCAAGACACTTCTGTGTCGAAAACAAATACTTTGTGGTTTCACACACACACATACAAAGCAAACTAACTGAAGAATACCACAAACTAATCTGCCGTTAGAATAACAACACCTTAGCACACTTGAGTGAGTTCTTAAAAAATGAGTGCAACTGACAAAAAGCGATTGCTTATGAAATATTGCCACACGAACGACACGTTACAGAAGCGAAGCAGGTGACTATAGCGCTGGCAAACAAGAAACAAAGACAAAAGAGCAAGAAGCACAAAAACTAAAACGACTATTTGAGCGCTTAAGCCGCGGTTAAGCAGTGCATTGAAGCAGCCGTAGAAGAGGGAGTGTGTGTGTGTGTGTTCACTTGTAGAACACCTACATTTACGGCGACACGTACGCAACATATTGAAGCAGAAAAATGAAAGCAAAAGCAACAAAAATCTATTGAAGAAGTTGGCGAGAAGAAAGCATTGTGCAGTACAACCACTTGACAAGCAGGCGAAGCACAGCAAGCATGCAGCAAATGCTGGCAAGGAGTGGCATACAAGTGCGCTTAGAATGCGAGCTTTTCAACTGCATACATATACATACAAACAAGTAGTTGTAGCAGCACGCTAGTGTGATTTATATAAGTAAGCAGCAGTTTCGCTTGCTTGCTTGCTTACTTCCTCACTTGCCACACATGTCGCTACTGCTATCGCCTGCCAGCTGCAATGTGTCACTGCTGTTGCTACGGAAACTGGAAATTTTTTTTCACACATATGCATTCACATACGTTTTCATAAATGTGTCTGCACGTGAGCATCGTCATGCACGCTTGGAGCGCACATAGCTCAGTTGACGCTGTGGCAGATTTTCGATTGCAGCAAGGGCTGTTGTGACATTGTGCAATAACTGTTGAAACATTTTCACAGGTTATCGCATCAAATTGAATTTTGAAAAACACAATTTTTAAAGATTCCTGATAGTATGCGTGGACTGTTGCTTTGTTGAAGCAGGATGCAGGTAAACTTTGTTGTAAAAGCTATTTAGTTTTTGTGATAAATCTGCGCATATGCAATTAGAGTGTGAGCTTTAGTGCTGATATTGAATATAAGAATATAATTTAGTTTCTTTGTCTTGAAATTTTAACGGTATTACTAAAATGCGTTTCGATTCCCTCTTCTTGTTTTTGTTGACTTGGCTGCAACAAGATAGTGTTCCGTGCCGATGTTAGCACCTCGAAGCATGTCAAAAACACTGCAGATGTGGCTTCTGTCTATCACAACATCATCGATCTGGTTGGTGATTTTTCGATCCGGAGACAGCCAGGCAGCTTGAGGATTTTTTCTATGTTGGAATCTAGCACCACAGATAACCACATTTCGGAGCACGGCGAAGACGACCAGCCCCATTTGGAGATATTTCATCACAGATCCTGAATTTACCTACCGTTGCGCCAAAGATACCTCCTTTGCTCACCCTTACGTTAAAGCCGCCAAAAACGATTTTGACATCGCGGCATGGGTAGCTCCCATAGGTGCACTCCAAGCCCACATACAAGTCATCTTTGGTCACATCGTCCCTATCTTCCGTTAAAGCGTGGGAGCAAATCAGCGATATGTTGATGAACTTCGCTTTGATGTGGTTTGTGGCTAGACGTCTTTCCAGCGGCGTGAATGCCAAGAATCGGCGACATTGTCTCTCTTCCACCACGAATCCGTCGCTTCAAGCCTTTAAAAAATATCTCGTTTCATATATTCTGCAGGAAATTGAGTGTTCTATAAGGCTGTAAATATTGTCGTACTCCTAACCATTTTAAAAATATTAAAAGTTGAAGTTTGATTATTTAAAAAAAAAAAATTCGTAATAATTTTATAACTTCAGAAATAAAATCACAGTATCAAGCGCATAAATTATGTCTCTTTACCTATAGAATACACTTTTTTTTTTTTTTATAACCACTTACGCGGTTATAGCCGAGTTAGCAACAGCCAGTCGTTTCTGTTTCTCGCAAGGTGGCGCCAATTGGCGATTCCAAGCGAAGTCAGGTGCTTCTCCATCTGGTTCTTCTAACGGAGTGGAGGTCTTCCTCTTCTTTTGCTTCCTTCGGCGGGTAATATACTTCCACATAAGCAAATTATGTAGAAATATTATTTTCTCTTTGATATTATTTACAACTTTTACTATAGAAACTGCACTTAAGAAAGTTACATACATGTGTAATAAGATTATTTCTCTTTCGTTAACCAGGTTGCACTTCCAATTCCACATCGAGTGATTGTCACAAAGAATGTGACTTTGAACGCGGCGGTGAAGGCATCACACTGCGAAAGGCTGGTAAAATTAGTGGTAAGTTGAAAGTGAAAGTATTGTATAAAGTCTTATAAATTGTGAAGAATTTATAAGTTGGTTGGTAATACATATTTAATGCTTTGAACTTGAAACTTTCTTTTCTTAACAAATCGCATATTTTTTAAGTTTAAATGAAATATATAATTTTTTGCATTCAGTCTTATTTTTAAACGGGATATATATAGATATATTAATTTATCTTTATGTGTCTAAGTAATTTCGTAAAATATTTCATGAGCTGTTAAAAACCTTAGAGAAATTTTTTGAAGCTACCGTCTTTTTTGGTTTGCTATGTGAGTACATTGTTGATTTAGGTGTGTGACTTTATTCAAAACAATAGCTGAATTGCATACACGATTTGGTAATCACAAAATGAATTAGTATGTAGCGTCTTACAATATTTTTTTTTATTATACTTCGTATTCACCAGTTTAAGATGCATATTTACATTCATAAATGTTGGTCTCTAATAACTAATATAATTTAATTAAATAATTTTTAAAATATTCTGACTGGCCGGTATACATCTACACATAAGGCGAGTATGTACTCCGAGGGCTTGTAGCCAATCCAGATTTCGGCCCTTTCCTCTTCCTTACCTAAAGTTTTTGAGAGATTGATAGATTGGCAGATAACGAGAAACATTCTGAGCAACTATTTATCAGAGCCGCCACTAGCTTATTGTAAAATTTGTAGGTCAGTAGTCACTGAACTGGATACTATCGTACTATTTGAACAGCTCTTGAATGTTTATTGAATCAAACCTCAAGTAGTTTTTTAAGACCTCTGTGTGATAGACTGATTGTGATGGAATGGGCACAAAGTTTAATTCTTTCTCCTCTTCTATGGTTTTTCCTCAATAACGATCTACTTGAGGATGGTCCTACCGGGTGACTGTTTAAGCAAACGATCTAGAAAGTTTTTAAGTACTATGTATAAGTTGTGGTAAGGGTAACTCAGGGTCGAAACTAATTGAGCAGACGGAAGTGGTCGTCCCATTATCCCTAATAACACTGAGATGATTTTATTTAAAATTAGATATAAGATCCCGGAGTAACCACTGCAGCGGATGGGTAGGATCTGGCTAACACTTGCGGATGCAGTAAATTAACTAGTTTAGCCTTTTTCTAGGTAGGAAGCTTACATGGAAGCCTAATATCGAGGAGAGAGCAAATAAGGCATCGACTACCTTGCACTACTGCAGAGGAGCCATCGTCAAAAGTTGTAGCCTCTCATAGAATGTTGTTCTCTGACTTCACCAACACTAAAATCAAACCAATTACGGTTTATGTCTGCAGCGATACTAGACTTGACCTTATTAACTGTGCGTTCAGCTCTCGTTAAGAAATGCCTAACCCCGTTGCCAATGGTTCTCCCTGGTTGTAGGGATTTTAACAGCTATTATACTATCGACGTCCATACTGCAATGTTGATCATATTGCCGTATGATAGGTCCTGTATGGAGGAAGACGACGTGGAAACTTGATAGCACTTTCTACTTGATTTTTCCTCATTTGCGAGATTAAGGTTTAAACACTTGGGAGCTTTAATTTTCAGATATCCTGTTGAAAGTTTAATTGGCAATAAGATGCTTTGACGACGGCGAGAACTATGTCGAATGCTCTCAGAGCTGAAATGTTTTCATTCATTCGGATGACATGACCTAACTAGCGTAGCCACTGTGTCTTAGCTCGCTGAACCATGTCAATGTCGTCATATATCTCATACAGCTCATCGTTCAAGAGAATGCGGTATTTGCCGTTGGCAATGCGCGAAAGTTCATAAATCTTCCGCAGAATTTTTCGTTCGAAAAATCGTTTGAATGACTTGTAAAGTTTGGCCTTTGTTCTTAGAGAGAGGACCTTATTTCTCAACTGCCAAACCTAACCCTAACCTTATACATATATTCGCGCGATTTACCATAGCACGGCGTAATTTAATTATTATTTCATTGTTACGATATTCCAAAAAGGTATTGGAAAACTACTGTAAGAACTAAAATATATCAAAAAATCTGCTTTCGTATGAAGCTCTCCTTCATTTTTTAATTCGTGAAATTTTTTCGTTCCTTTTTTCAAAATGCATTGAATATTAGTTTCTAAAATATTCTATAGAAACCTAAGCTTAGTGCTCATGCTATCTTTAATCCTTCTTTTCCAGCACGCAACGGTAAAACTCGTTACGAAGTGACAATACGCCTGGGCGCCAACTTAACTGCCTTTTACCGTAACATGGATCCCGAGAGGCGCCCAAGCGATCATCTACCGAGTTTACTGGAAAGACATGTAAGTGACATTCAAAGTATTTTAAGTAATGAAATTTGTATAATTTGAATATACATACATATATAGAAACTGCAACGATTTTCTGCTGAAAAAGATATATTTTTCTGGGACTGAAAGTTTATCAAATTATTTTCTGGCCAAAAACTAATATTTTTGAAAGGTTGGAGGTTTTTTAAGTAAAAGTTTGATTAGTTGTGTATTAGTTAGCTGAATTTAAAGTTAGAATTTTCAACGATTTGATAAAAAAAAAATGCTAACAGTATATTTCTATCTTTGATTTCAACATTTACTTACCGGATAAGCAATGCTGTGTCTGCTGTTGGCCGTGAAAGTAGCAAATTTTTTTCCATTACCCTAATAACACAAAATTTTATAACTTTTTCCACTTACTACATAAAAGAAATATCTCTCGTGTATACTTTTCACTCTCCTTAACTCTTCAAATGACCCCCAATTAACCGCAATTAAGCAAATACGCGATCCTTTCAAACGCTAATTAAGGTATCTTAAAATATTCGCTTCCCACCTGCATTTGAAGGTAGTCCAAAATTGCAGAAAAATCCAAAAAGTTTCATGCACCCAATTAACCAATTTGCACCACCATAAAATTTGCATTAATTTCGAGCAATGGAAATCTTTTAAAAATCACTTAAATTTTCGCCCGATTACGTACACACCTGTCAGTGAATTTAATAGGCTAAATAAAGCATTTTTTCCGCTAATGACCGTTATTATTACACCTGAACGCCCACAGTGAAATGTGTAAATATGTATATTTCTATATTCATTACCCAACCCACAGGATATTTGCTGCGTAATAACCGTTATTACCTGCGTATTGCTTGTGGCTCTCCGCCACTTCGGGCGATTTCTGTAATGTTGTTGTCTTAACGTCAAAGAAAATCTCGATTAATACTAAACTGGCAGTCAGTGAGTGGCGCAGATGATAAATAATAAAATTTTAATTTTATAACGGTAGCCATAAATACGCATAATCATGCCATCGGCAATCTTTGTCTGATGTGGTATTTAAGCGCAACATGCCACAGCGAGAGCCGCGGGCATAAAAGTTGCGTTGTTGTATTGTGGTTTCTTGGATTTTAACTGTAGTCGTGGAATATTTCATTTGCTTATGGCAATGTCTTCTGTTACACTTTTTTTGTGGCACAACAACAAAAGCACAGCGAGAAAGGTTAACTCAGACTTCAAACGATTCACCTTAATATTTTCATAATCTGAATTCAGTATATAAAGTTTTCCAACCAAAGTGATGTTTTGCCTTCTTGCCTTGGTTCGCCTTCAAGCAGATCTTTTTTTTTTTTTGCAACCCAGAGAATACTTGGTCTCAGACCGAAAGTCGTGAGCTGCTTGAGCCATATGTCAAAGAACTGTTTCTGGCCACTCCCAAGTGATTGGCACTCGAAGAACTTTCCTCACTTGCGTGAACTTCTACACATGGCTCTATCCTCCATATCTATACAGAAGCGGAGGCTGCTTTTTCATTGTGGGTGTTTTTTTACGTTGCGGGTTGGGTGAGGTTTGGTTAAATGGTCCATTCTAACAAGAATCTCACTTAGAAAGCGCAAAAACCCTGTAATGTGGTAGCCAGAAAACCTATAAAATTAGTCATAAGGACTCTCATAAGTCAACGAAGCGTTCTCAGTTCGTCCCAACATCAACCTTGCGAGAGAAGGACAATAGAAAAGGTGGAAACATACAGACACTTTCCACCTCCCTTTTATCGATACAACTTTGATATAGCTTCAACGATTTCGGCAGGATGACTATGCAAGGACAAGATTTCAGTATATCTGTTATATAGGGTGGTCGTGGATCAATGTCTACTAAGCTCATGTGAGTTCCAGAGCTATTAGGCAAGGTGAAAACTGGGATCCAACTCGTTCTCATTACGATATGAGTGGAGAAAGCGGGCATCCTTTTGCTAGCTCATCGGCTACGGAATTTTCGTTGATTGTGCTGTGATTAGGTAGTCAAACTGTCCGCTGTTGATAGTGACACTCTCTGACTAACTTTGAACGAGCTCAAAGCTAATATAGTTACTGTGCTGGTGGTTCTCAAAGAAGTCGAATTGTAAGAAACTTTAATAGCAGCCATTCCTGCCTAAAATAGGAAAGCTACTTACGAAAGACTTCAACACTAACCGATCTTCCTAGCTTCGACTTATCCGTGAAAAAGCTCATTGTACCTAAAATTCCAAAACTTACCGATCCAAAATTCCTAATAGCCTTTGTCTGGATAAAAACCGGGTCAACTTCATTAATGTAGAACCGGCTGTCATGGGAATTGGCTCAGTGCATCTGATCCCCGTCCACCAGTAGACTCTAAATTTTTACAGATGCAATTCATGCTATTAGCAATGTAATTGTGAAGGGTATTATAACCACGGTACTCTCAGAAAGTATTTTTCCTTTTATTAATAATATAAAACCCTCTTGACTTCAAAATATTTGCTGAAAATCAATACTTTATTGCATATTTTTAACAAACTATTCATAAATAACAACAACATTCATAAAGTTGTAGGTTATTGCGTAAATTGTTACCGAAAATAACTATAGAATACTTTGGCCGGTCCTTCCTCCTTACGGCACCAAGTTCTTAGTTAAATTTAATGTTTCTTCATCATTTACGGACTGACTGAGCCGCTGTGGCGCATTCGCTATGGAATTGAGCACATTTCGTGCAGAACGTGCATTTCGCTCCAGCGAAGACGACCAACTATTGGCGCCGCCACCACCACCACCTACGCTGTTGCTGACATCACTGCGTTGCGTTGACGCACCATTCATGCCCGACTCCATAATTGTGGGCATGGTATTGGCACCCAAGCTGCCACCCATGCCCGCCAGGCCCAGCGCGCTGCTCAGCTCCGTGCCAAAGTTGCCACCACTGCCGGCCGCACCACCTTCGGCCGCTCTGAAGGAATGCGCCGAACGTGATGTGGGACGCCAACGATTTAATTTCACCGAGGTTTTGCGCTGATGTGGCGAAGTGCCGCGTGCATTGGCCGCCGTGCCGTTCTTGACAGCCGCTGTGTGCTGTTCCATCAGATTAGATATGAGCTTGTCGAGTGCCTTCAGGTCGACTTGCACTTTGGAGTTGCGTACAGAATTCATGCGACTGCCGGTGCGGCTGCCGAATGGCGAGTTGCTGTAGTCGCCGCCTGTTGGTTCGCGCAGATTGAGTCCAGCCATGCGTGCTAAGCGTTGTGGCAGCTAGAAAATAGTAAAAGGAGAAGAGATTTGAAATTTTGAAAAGTTTGTCGCAAAATGTTTGAATAATATTTTTTTTTTTTTTTTTTTTTTTTTGTTAGAAAAAAGTTTAGATAGCAATGGAATGAAGCATGCTGAATAACATTTATGTTACAGTGATTCCGTGTAATATGCCGCAGATACAATTATAAATGCCTCAGCATATTTTTTATAGCTTTTAAGTTATTCTTGGAAACGTTTTCAATAAATAAGCTATGCCTTTCGGCTCTTGAATGAAAACCGTTCCTAGAATAACATATTTATCTACTATTACATCGGATTGCTTGTACTATAGTGGCGCAGATTTTATATATAGATTTTATTGAAGTCTCCGCTGTTAAAATTCCATTTCAATTTCTTGATAATGATAAGAGCGTCTTCATCGTAGCCTCCTTCAATGATATAAAGCAATCCTCACCAGTTGTTATATTCACTTTCAATTTTTGGTAGAATTGTAGTTTTTCCAGGCGCTCATTGTTTTTGTATTCTACTACTTATCAATTCGGAGAAGGCTGAAGCAGGAAACCTGAGAGCGCTTTTTAGCAGGTTTTCGTTGAAATATTGCTAAGATTCGGGAGAATTTTCGCTTGTTTTAGGTATAAAAGGAATGGTGGTGCTTGCGCAGACAATAAATTAGTATTTGTGTACCTTAATTGCTAAAAATGTAGAAATGAGATGATGTAGAAAAATATAGAAAAAAACATTTTTTTTAATAGATAAAAATATAACGAGGAGGAAAAATAAATCATATTTTGACATTAAATTTGTCTTCAATATTGGTGAATACTTCTGAAAGAGAGAAAAATCACTTATAGTCTGTCAATAGAGAACGTCTCTAATAAATTTAAAATACTCGATGTATTCTTCAAATTCCATGTCGTTTCCGAGTCCAATACACTTTTCCCAATTTCCGGAATACTCTTCAATGCGCGTAGCGTCGCACGTTTGATGTCTTCAACTGAGTCACAGCGGTTTAACCTTAGCGGTCGTGGGAGCTTGCTAAGTAGCCAAAAATCACACTGAGCTAAATCAGACGGTGATTGCGGCGTGATATTGGTTGAAAATTTGCCGAAAAACTCACGAAAGATCAGTGCAGTATGCGACGGTGTATAACGTAGTGAAAAATCGAAGCGCTGTCGGCTCTTAATTCCGGCCTCTTTTTACGTCTAACTTAGCGCAAATGACCACTAACACTGCAAAAGTATTCTTTGTTGACAGTTTGGCTGGTCGAAAAGCATTTGGAGGGCACCAACTCGATAATTGAAGACAACAGTCAACCAAAACATTACAGCAGCTGGATGAAGACCAAAATGTAATCCAGTAATGCCACTGTAAAGGTAGCTTATATATTATATGTCGAGCATAATTTGTTTCAAGCTCGTTGTTCGTTGACTGTGATAGGCTTTCATATAGAGATTATCTCGATTGGCATAATTGTATGTTTTCTAAGGCGATTTCTGCGAATGTGAACAGTTTTTACGGCTGAATTAGTTTAAACCACGCGAGGGTGATAACTTCTTTTTTTTTTGTGTCGTTAGCTGTAGATGTTTGGAAAAAACGATCAATAGCGCGGTTCTCGAAATATTAAGTTTTTGAGAAGCTCATAAATTTCGCTCACTCTTTTTCACACTTATGTAAAGCAGTCACCGCAACATGATTTTCTTCAGCGCTCCACTCCATTGCCAATTAGCAAACACCCAACTGTTTATCAAATATTTTTGGGATCAG